GGTCCTTCTGAACCTCAGGGCTTCGTAGCTGCCATCCCTGCCTGTGGGGTCAGACCCGCCTCTCTTATACAGAATGAAACCTTTAGACCCAAGGCATAGAGCGACCAGATGGCCCTCTAACGAGTCACCCGGATGCCCTTGGCAGGTAGGAATGTAGTCCTTCATTCAAGGCTTCCAGATTAACAATGATTTTATCTACAAATGTAAAGTGAAATATAAGCATGTGTAATTACTGTCCTTAACATTCAGATGGCCAAAAGCAAGAAGAAAATACCAAAGGCAACACTATGGATGCCCTGCCCTAATTTATCCTTGGGTAAGATTATAGGTTTTCTCCAGTGACCTTTCTTTATTGACGTCTGGCTTCTTTTCCTGTTTTCTTTAAAGACTTATTTATTTTAGTTTAGGTGCATTGGTGTTTTGCCTACAGGTATGTCTGTGTGTGGGTGCCAGATTCCCTGGTACTGGAGATGTTGCGAATTACTGTGAGGAGCTGGGAATTGAACCCAGGCCCTCTGGAAAGGCAGCCAGTGCTCTCAAGTGCTGAACTATCTCTGCAGCCCCTAATGTCGTATAGTCATTCCCCCACCTTTTTTTTGAGACAGGGTTTCTCTATGTAGACCAGGCTGGCCTCGAACTCACAGAGATCCTCCCGCCTCTGCCTCTCGAGTGCTGGGATTAAAAGTGTGCACGACCTCAGTCTGGTTTGTTTTTCTATAATAACTAATGGAATATATTAATGTTATTCCTTGACAGTTTTTTCTCTGGGTTGATTTTTGTTATTGGCGGGCTGTAACTTGCCTTGAATTATATTTTTAGTGTTGGGAACAAAAGAAAACGAATGATAAAAGAAACACTATGAACTTTTATAAAGTTCATTCTGGCCTGCAGTGGAGGAGATGTGTGACCTGAGCCAGTTCTGCAATGGAACCAGGCAAGTCATTGAAACAAGGCATCTCTTTGTCTCTCACGTCCCAGTAGGCACAGAGTAGCTAATATGTTTTCATCGGGGGCAAGGGGCACGTAGATGTTTGAGTACAAGGCCTCTCTTGTCCACTCACCCAGAGCCTGGCCATGTGACAGGCTGGAATGATGTGGCAGCCATATGACATTGCTCACAATGCCTCTGCAGAGATGCTCTGTGGTTGGGATCTTAAGGTTTTGGGAAATTATGGAAAACATTGATTTCCCTGTACTCGCCTGAAGGCTGTTCCATTATAATGTCAGGAAATGGATCCCTAGAATTTAAACAAGTACCACTCATCCCTTCACATAAACAGAAGAATGCAACTCTATTCAAATCCCCACGATGGATACCTCACAGCACACTGGAATTGAATTAGCATGTAAAGATGATAGCCAAGAAGAGAATCTGTTCAGACGCTACACTCGAATAGTCTCTAAATTCAAACCAGAATCTCAAGCACTGGCCCCTTGGTTGTTATTATGAAGGCACAGCACTTTGTGGGAGAGCCCTCAGCAAAGTGTAATCTAAACCCTTCTTGCATAAAGCTTGTGTGTCCTGGACCCTGGCCCCGCACTCCATCCATTATGTTGTAAACGGCTTTTATTGGCTGAACAAATGTTAATGCCATTATATGTTAATGGACGGTGCTATGAAAGGCACCAAGGTATATTATACTATTTGAACCTCCAAGGGTGAAAGGTAGGACAACTTGCAGAGTTGTCTACCACGCACACACGTCAGCCACGAGGGCCTCAAGTGCTTACGGCCCATCTCCACAGAACTCGGCTGGTAATCTCGCCCTTGGATAAGAGAATTCTGTGATTATGCACAGTTTTATTAGGTCCCAGGGTTACAATTTTCTGAGTAAGAATAATAAATATTTGTATTTTTAATTGCATTACAATATTCAAATGATTTGAAAACAGTCACCTCAGCCAATAAATAAATAAATAAATAAATAAATAAATAAATAAAAGATGCGGTTGGCTACGGGAGCCATAAACGATGTGAGTTCAACAGGTGGGCGCGCGGTCTGACACCTTCACGTCGCCCTCCCGTGGATGTGGGAGTTAAGGCACCATGCCTCGGCTTTCCCCTGTCAGATTACTGAGACCTGACCCATCACTCTAAGCATTTACCTGCCCTGCATCCTAATTGCTCCTTGCCTGTTGACAGGTGGAACTTCCTTCCCTGGGCCTTCATTCCCTTGCTTCCTTGGTTTCTAGCCTCTCCCTGGGAAATGTGGCGTATCTGCCGTACGACTGCCAATTAGTTCAGCCATCCGCTGTGAGCTACACTCACATGCTCATCTCTGTTCTTCAGACGCTGCAAATGCCCTTCAACTCAGCTGTGTCCTTAGATGGGCTCCTATTTCCCCTCTCTTCCCTGGAAGAGGAGTCCCCCTAAGTGCCCCCCATTGCTCACATCGGGGAGTGTACCTCCAAACATCTCTCCTCCTCTGCACTCTTTCTTGCCACCTCTCCTTAAGCCTTCACTCCACTCTCCACGGCTGTCAGAACAGGGAACGGGATTTGCCAACGTGACCATATCACCCTCTGCACCAAACTCACGGCTCCCTTCCACGGGACTTGAACATGCCTGGGATCTCATCCTGCCTCTACCCACCAACTTTCTTCTCACGCTGGTCTACCTTGGCCTCACAGGGCGCTCACAGGCTATTTCCTTTGCTTGGGGCCCTTCTCATCCCCCAGTCAAGGTCCTATTTATCTTCTAACTACCAGGGAGACCAGCCTTAACCACAAGAAAGCTCATATAGTATATGGTAAGATCACATAAATCCCTGAGAATCTGTCACAGCTGGTATTTCCTAACTGGCCTCTGCTGGGAGGCAGACAATCCTCAAAGGCGTGGGATTGGGGAGGGGGAGACGTGTCTACTTAGCCGCCCAATTTCCCCAGTTACCCATACACACAGGATGGACACAAGAACTCCAACTGTCATCACCCTGAGGCATTTTTTTTTAAAGGCCCTTTGCTTCCTTAGCAAGAGAGCACCACCGCTTAAACAGCACGGCTTCAGACAAGTAGTCCTGATGACCCTGACCACCTCAGGTTCCGCCACGTTAGTCACAGGGCAGGAAAAGTATGAAGAAAACTGGGCTCTACAAAGGCTCTCCATGGAAACCAGACATCAAAAGGACAACCAGCCATGGCCATGACTCACAGCAAATGTGTCACGATGGCTTTTGTGGTTTTCTTCTGGAAGGTTCCTTCACTCATCCACTCTCTTAAGAGCTCACAGATTTTAAACTGGGCGACGTCTCAGGGCTCTGAGGGTGACAGCTCCAACAGTTCACTCTCTACTCACACAGCCCCCACACCCAAGGCCAGCTGGACAGCCGTGGAGCCTCCGGCCTCGCGTGGGGGGGGGCACCAGTCCATCTACTTGATGGCTCGGGTCTTTTGTGCCACAGCTGACTGGAGGAGGGGCATGTGGGAGGGAGGCTGTGGGTCATTGCTGTAGGAAGGCTAGCAGTAGTGGACTGGGGTGGGGGTGGGCATGAGGCCTTCATTACTTCTCCTCAGAAAAAGTAAAAACTTTAAACTCGACTGAAGGAATTTGCTTTACTTAAATGGATTTCAGCTTCCTTAAAGTATAACTTTTTGATGTGTGAATCATTTAAGGCCTTATTTCAATTTCAAGCCCGGTCTACCGACCAGAAGAAAAAAACGGCAGGGTTGAGCTTGACGGCACACATCTATAATCCTAGCAATTAAGACAGTCGAGGCGGAATCGCAGGTTCCAGGCCAGCCTGGGGGACCCTGTCAGGAGACCGAAGAGAAGGGATGCCGAATGAACGATTTCGTCAGAATGGACAAAAGGTGATATAAGGGTGCAAGTCTAATCACAGAAAGAAAGTGGTATACAATGGCAGACAATACAATCACGCAAAGACCACTAGAGCATTTAGTCCCGATGTGGAATTTTGAAATAGTAAAATAGAAGGAGTGTATCAGCATCATATACTGTCTGCTGTTTAATCTGAAACAAAATAGGCAACAGAGATTTTTAAAAATAAATTATGGACTCTAAATGTACTTAAAGATCAGAGATGAAGCTTCTGAAAAGTTTCTTCAGAAGGAAAATAAATCATTGTGGATTAAAAAAACAAAACAAAACAAAACACCCAACTTTAGTTATTCACTCTTTTGGAAGGAAAATATCCATCCTTGAAATCAAGGTAGAAACTGTAAGTCAAGTAATTCTATAACTGCTGAAAATACACGCAGGATGTCCAAGAGGGAGAATCATGTTAATGTTCTCGTTTTTACAGGAAATGACCACACCATCTACTGTAATTTATTTTGGTGTTTTGCCCAGTACAGTATCAATTTTCTAAGAACTATAAATTTTTAGGTTATTTCCCTGAAAAAATAATGAGTGAAGAAAAAAACTATGTGTTAACGGCGACGTCTTGATTATAAGAACACTCAGGAAAACACGAATACAGTGCGAGAGCCCAACGTGTCCGTGTCTGTGTCTGTGTGAAACTGGCTTGTGGAGGGAAGGCAGTGGGCAGGACAGGGAGCAGAGTAACAAAGTAACAAAGTGTTGCAACAGCACACAGAAGTATACCTTAGCCTTCAGCCCTATGGCCGTGTCAGGAGCTTCTGATTCTAACTAAGTTTTGAAGAAAAGTCACGAGGCAGCCCTGCCCGACTCAGGACGTAGCCTTAAAGGATGCTTGGGCGATAAATGGGCGCATACAGATGTGAGCGCAAATGTATTTTCTGCCTGATGTCTGCTTTCTTGGTCATCTGGCTGACTGCTTTGACAGTTTTACCCCCGTGTGCCTCAAAGCACCAGGACCGGACAACCTCACAGAGCGCGGAAGGGGAGGGCTGCTCCGCTAAGTGTCACACGGGTCACTGCAGTGACCCTCCTCAGGACAGGTAAACGTCAGACAACAAACCATGATGGATCCCTTGGAAAATGTGGCCCCAGGAACCCCTTCGTTTGGGAAATCTGTGCATGGCTAATACAATGATTAGATTTTAAAGAGTATCCTTACCCGAATTATTTCTTCCACACAGCTGTTGCTTTCTCCAGATCTACTCTCCTGAAAGAAAAGGAGAGATAAATTAGTGTTGCAGAATACTATTTTAAGATGGGTTACATTTGCTTATGCTGTGGAACATTTGTTTAACGATGCGAAGATGTGTGGCATTTTTTTACGTTGTATTTGTTTACCTATGTGAAGCTGTGGTTCTCTGCCTGTCTAAAACACCTGGTTGGTCTAATGAAGAGCTGAATGGCCAATAGTGACACAGGAGAGATGACAGGCAGGGCTGGCAGGCAGAGAAAATGAATAGAAGGAGAAATCTGGGAAAAGATGGTCAAGGAAGGAGAAAGAGAAGCTGAGGCGGACTCCAGGCGCCAGCCACCCAGTTACACAGCAAGCCAGAGAGTAAGAACTAAAGGAAGGTATGCAGAAATAAAGTGCAAAAGCCCAGAGGCAAAAGGTAGATGGGATGGATAATTTAAGAAAAGCTGGCAAGAGACAAGTCAAGCCAAGGCTGGGCATTCGTAAGAAAGAACACGCCTCCATGTGATTTATTTGAGAAGCTGGGTGGGCCCCCAAGGAGAAAAGTGTAAGAGTAGAGAGTTAAACGACCAACAACAAGTTAGGCTTGATCAAATGCAACAATGCTCACAAAGAGAGGGTGACAAGCAGATTTCCAAATTAGGTGGGTGGGGGGGCGGGGTGGAATGAAGCAATCTTCGAAGGGAACGTTTAATACAGGGAGTGCCGACTGAGGGATTTGCTCTGATGGCCAGCTCTCGCCGGTCAGTTATCACGTGGCTGTTTCCCCTTCCCGGGCACGCAGAGCCACATGCCCGTGGACTCTGCCCAGAGCTCTCCCTCTGCGTTAATTTAAGTGACCCATAGAAACACAGAGAAAGTTCCACGGTTCTGAGATTCATCCACTCTGGTCTTTAGTCAAGTGTTGAAACCATTGACTTCACCACAAAGTAGTTCCAGCCTACCCATGAAATGTGCGCCATGGACCAGAGGGGTTCGGCGGTTACCACAGCTTAAATAAAAGTCTAGTTCACAACCCTCAAATCCTACCAGTCCGAAGCTAAATACTGAGTCGGCGCAGCCACAATCCCCTGGGCAATGCCAACTATGCTGGTGTCAGGTATCACCGGAACCGCTTGACCTGTTATCACTCATGCTCCTTGCGCTGTAGGCAGCTGAGGTGTGGTGGCCTAGGTCACAGCTGATCGGAGGAAATGTTATTAAGTGCCACAGACACTGTTTAGTTACTGCTGGTTACAGAGCCGAGAGCAGAGGGCGTGGTGGTTTTATGGGAACATAAAAGCAATGAGAATCTACTGTTGGGTGTGCAGCCGAGGTCCCAGGGAAGTCATTCTGCAGGCCCTGTAATGTAAGGGTGCCGACCCCAGCACACCGTGACATACCAGCATGAGATAGTTCTGTGATTTGTCAACCAGACACAACTCTTTCCTCCAGGAATGCCATCTGCGCCTCCGGGAGGTTCCCCAGCTATCCAGTTTCCTCAAAGTGGCTATCCTTGACCCTGGCATTCTCAATAGCACGCCCTTTCTCATCTTAGATTCCCCATGACTGCATTTCAAAACCCAGAACTCTCCCCCCATTTAGAGCACATACCGTATGCAGAGTCTCTGTCATTCTAAACTGTTCCACACTGTGTGCATTATACATAATGTGCACGGCAGCTGATGTCAAGCAAAGTAATGAATGCATTAATTTCTGTAGTCCTTGCATTTAAGCTTGTCTTCTTCGACAGGGTTTTACTATACAGCCATCCATCTGCCTCAAGTTCTGGGATTATATCAATAGCACAGCAGGGTACTTCTGATATCCTGAGGTACATGGAGTTGATCAGAATCTACCCTAGGTGTTGAAAGGATGATAGAAGAACCCCAGAGATGTATGGCACCTCATTCTTTGTATCTTCTGTGAGACCATTTTCCTGAGAACTCAAGGGTACCTCAAGAATGGTATGTACTGGTTTGGATCTTCAGGGCTCCAGGTGACCTGGGGTGGATGACTGGGCCACAAATTTGAAGGAAGCCTGACTCAAAAGGCACCCAGGCAAAACCAATGACTTTGCCAGGAAATTGTGATAAAACAAAGAGCTCTGTTCAAAATCACCACGGAAGCAAGTGGCAGCCAAGGCAGGAGCCACACGTATTTCCAGCAGCCCTAGTGACTTTTCTACGTCAGGCAAGTTTCCCGTGCTCAGTCCCTGGGGCTGTCTGTAGCTGAGTTGATGTCTGAAGTGGAGAAATGGAAGGATTTTGATAACATTTTGATGAATGTCTTCATCTTTTTTGATGTTACACATTTTTAAACACTCTCAACGAACCCCCCACAATACACGGAGAGACAGGGAGGGAAAAGGGAGAGGAAAGAGAGAGTCAGAAATCATTATCTCTGTCAACTGAAAAAAACAAACAGGAAGAGTGTATGTCCTCAGACATGGGAACACAGGATTCCACCTGGTCTTTTCCAAATGCTCCGCAGGGGTAGGTCAGTGAGGAGGAAAGGGAAAGGGGCCGCGGGAACTTTCTACCTTTCAGGGATCTTCTTCAAGTCTGATTTCTACTATACTTGTGTACTTTGATTATATTTATGATCTGAAAATTTTCTGTGTTTATGAGTAGGGCTAAAACGTGCACACAAATTACAGCTCCAAATTTGTGTGTATATTTTCCACAATAAAAATCACTGCTTCCCTTGGAAAGGTACCCACTGAGAAGGAGGCTGCACAATGTAAATTTTAATTACTCGGTATTTTTTTTTTTTTTTGAGGTTTTTGTGGCTGTTGTCTCATGCTGAGTCACTGAGCCGCAGCTCCGCATTTACTGTGACGCTGATGAACCCCCTTCATTTTTCTAGCATTACATTCTGAAATCTGTCAAAACAGTCTCACCTCATTGAGGCTCCAACTAAACTTCAATTAAACGCCAGCATCCCTGGCCGATTCTCCTCCACAGCCTTGGTTGTTACTTGCTTTCCCCAAAACCCTACCACTCACACACAAGCACAGCCTGCCAGGGAAATGTGAGGACTGGAGTTCTGGGAAAGGAGATCTCAAGAAGCAGCCAGGAGCATCATGCCGGCTGACAGCCGAAGTCCCTAATTACCATGCAGAGCACAGCACACTGGAAGAAGCAAGGCTTAAGGAGGAAAGGCTCCATCAAATCATGGTGAAATGGCATTTTGCAGCAGAGGAGATGAGCTGCACACAGGACACGTTCTGAAAACAGTTTAACTCTTCAACAGACACATTTCAAGGAATCTTCCATTCATAAACGATGCTAACATCACGACCCTGTCGGCAAAGCCTCAAAAGATCCTTGAAAATTTAGAAATTGTTCATCCCCCCCCCCCAACAGGCATACATCTAAATATTCCTACAGGGCTATTTTTTTTAAAAACAAATCTTACTGTCTTTCAGTTACAGAAAACCTGGACAAGGAAATCAGGTATTCTATCAATGCTATGAAAACGGTTCCTGAAGATCTAAGCTAAAACGAAGAACGGCCCTAACTCTGTGGCAGGACCCGTCTCTAAGATTAAGCTTTGGCTTAGCCCTAGCTCTTGAGGGTAACTTGTGAGTAACTAGGCAGACACCCTCGGTCTCTCAAGCTATCCTGACATGCCACCATCTGAAGCTGGGGGTGCTATTTCCTTCTCTGCCCTTCAGCCTCCCAACCTTCTCTGCCCTGCTCACCCATGAACCTCCTGCTCTGCCAACCCCGCCCAGCTCCAGCTCTGTCTGTGGAAGCCGAGTGTCACCACCAGCACAGAGACCTCTAGACACCCAAGAGAGACAAGCAAAAGCTAAATAAAAGCCAAAATGATAGATAAAATGAAATTAGAACACACTGTTAATAAAAACACATGAGATTGGAAACTTTTTGAGGAAAACAACGGATAGGTAACAAGTGACATAAAAATCACCTTCAAATACGGCTTCCAGCCAGATAATTGAAGTATTTTGAAGGTTTTTCTCTTTCATAGTGGAAATTTATAGAACACAATAACAGTTTATTTTATTAAATTAGTTAAAAAATAAGGGAATTCTCAATCAATAACCCACGTGAAAATAAATGTAAGATCCTTAATACATTATTAACACATATCACTCAGTAAAACAATAGAATTAATGGTATGTACCCCTGGAATTCAACAGGGATCTAACATTTACTTTTAAGGACCTTTGGAAGTACTATATCCAGTTGTTAAGAAAAATAAGATTATGAAGTTTGAAGGTAAATGGATAAGAGCTAGAAATAATTATCCTGAAAGTGCCTTTAAACTTTAGATGTGTGTGCTTCTATTAGAACAGCTTGCAGGTTTGATACCTAGGAAGGGCGCAGAGCAGATGTCTCTGGTTCTCTTTCCCAAGAAAGGGGAATTGAACATACTATTATAAAGAGATGAAGGGGACATAGATGAGGAGAGTTAAATGCAGAGGGGAATGAGATGGCAGAGTAAAGGAGAGAGAACGGGAAAAGACAACCAACACTAAAGACATTTGAAAAGCCATATAAAAAAAAAAGCTTTCCAAGACACACACACACACACACACACACACACACACAAACAAATTTAAATTTAGTCAACAAATTAACAGGGAGAGAATGACTCCAACTAGACATCTTATGATCAAGTAAAACTTCCCGGGCAAGAAATGTGTTACGTCTTGTCTAGCCTCCTCCCCCAAATTCGAAGCTATTGCCAAGGCTATGGGTTATCCTTCACAATCTGACAGTAAGACCCTGTTGTTGAAGACACCCTGACTATGTCGCTGAACTTTGAGAAATCAAGTTGATACACAACTGGAAGCTCCGCCCCTACCGACTAGCATTCATGGTCCCAGAGGGGATTTTGCATACTACCAGAAGAATGGAATCATCAATATCATTAAGCTACAAACTTGGTCCTACAATGACTGGCCTGTAAGATATACAGGTCCAACAGTGGCACAATGTTATGGGGGTAACCAACCACTTTTTGGATGCATTTAAGGTATGTTCCATGAGATGGAATCCATTTCT